AGCTATATGAAAAATGTATTTTGTAATAATTTTGTTTGCATGTCTGTTTGTGTCGACTATTCTCTAGAACGGCTGGACCGATTTTGGCTTAAACTTCACTTGCGTCATCTAAGCTGTGTCATAAGAAGTAACTTAGACTGCATTTTAACCGACTTTAAATAGGAGTAATTTTTCAATTCGACTATATGTTTGTTACACTATTCAATTAAAGGCAGATTTCAAAGCTTTCATTGAGGTACCTATTTCTCCATTGTCACCAAGACAGGACATGATAAATTGATCCTCAAGAAATCTCATAAAGATTACGTGTCACATGAGAGGTTTTAATATGCGAGCAAAACCGTAGACTATAGTTAGTCTTAAATATGTACATTACATTTTATATTTTAACACAATAATACAAGTATAAGTCTTGTCGAGGAAAACACGGCTTCGTCTCAGATAAAGAAACTGTTGGAAACCTCACGTCCAATGAATGAAGTAACCACAAACAAGCATCACTGTAATATAACAAACATTGACGTCATCACCTCGGCCGGCGGTGACGTCACCCCGATGACGTCACCACTGGCGTCATCACGATGACAGCGTCCGAGGAATCATCACGGTCAATATGTGATTGGGGAAATTATCAAAATATATGTTGTAATGAACGGCCTTAGTGTTTAAAATGGATTACCATCAAACTGATCGTATTCTGGTTAAAACAGAAACTGGTACTAAGGATACGGATGCTCGAGATTCTTCTTCTACCTGGCAGTTTCCCAGCTTAAGCCAGGGTCTGCCTTACATGTTGTGAATAGTTTTTGCTAATTGTTTTTACGACCGGCCGCCTGCCTGACATCAACCCTCTTTGGGAATGTACGGATGCTCGAGAATATTTGGAAGTAATTTGAGTGTATGTAATGTTAATACTATAATGTGAAAAGATTGATGAGTGTGAAACTGTTAAAACTTCGAAAGTAGTGTGACCACGCTGACGTGTGGTGTGCATACTGGTCTGATTTCCAAACTCCATTTAGTGCTACATCAGTAAGAATGCGGTATCTCAAAAGAATTTATAATATCTTCAATCAGCCTCTTTAACCGCTGTTGGTTAAAGTTTTTCAAAACTAATGTTAATTAATTAAACTTCATTAAAACTACAAACTACTCCCCTGACAACATATTACAGAAATACCTCAATATTACATAAGGTTGGGTCTAAATATTATAAATAATAGTAACATATAAACTAATTCTCAAACAAATTCAGGAGCAAAAGCTAGTTATATTAAAATTAAAAATTGTGAACCCCCCTTTTTTGATAACGGTTAAAATAATAAAGAATATAATATATAACAAACACGTCTATATAGTTAGCTCTTACGATACGAGAAGGACATTGGATAACAAAAAAAAAATGTTTTTATTGGAACTGTTGAATATAAAACAACAAATTAATATTCATCACTTAATTGCAAAAAATAATAATATTAAAGACATTGAGGAATGTTGTTATATTTTATACAAAGCTTATATATGTATGTTATATTTCATTGATAGAGTAGCTTTATATGTACTCTTCGAACACACATATACATGTGTGTTATTAAATGTATATCTGATCGTAAAACAGTAAATATCATTTATAATAGGTATATCTCACGAGATTGTGAACTGTCGAAAAATAGTATACCTCGACGTACTACTTACAATTTAACGTATATATTATTCATCTCATGTAGGTACATCTTGTTGTTCCATATATTATGTTTATATTTCAGCGAAATATTGATACTATCATACAAGAATATTAACGATTGTAAACTTTACACAGTATTTAGTTTGACGATGTCAGCTTAGTGAGGTAGAACTTAACAAATGAATAATAAATCGGCAGTTGAACTTAATTGTTTGAAATTATATAATAATACTTAGTTTAAATTTATTTATATCAAAATATATTATTTTTATATATGTACTGAGTTCAGAATATTTACCACAAGTTTGTCACTACATACGTACCGTCTCCCGTTTCATTCAATATTACGTTAATACTATAATGTATGAAGATATTAATGACATACTGTTAACGATACGTATGTAGTCACGAACTAGAGATCTTATTTAGTTTACATTTTTGTAAGAATATTCTTCAATGAAATTTTAAATTATTTTAAAAATAATATTAATTGAAATGTTGTTATTCAATTTGTTCGTAAGGTTCAAGTATTAAAAAACACACCAATGAGCATATAGAATTATATATAAATCTCTTTATATAAGGACATTATTTATTAAGCCAGTATATAAGAATGATTCACGCACTGTATATAGTGACTGATTATTTAAATGTATGTACTATTTATATGGAAATAATATGCTATGTGTATTTATATACAAGATAATATACATATTTATTAGAAGTTTTTTTTGTGTCTTAAAGTTTAGGGAAGCCTTAAAATCATGATTATATTGAAAAAAATACTATTAAAATAGTATAATATTTCATATACATATTACTTAATGTATTCTGTATATTAAAAGTCGTAGTGATCGTAATGACTAGTGTTCGTTCCAGGCATTACCTCGGTTCATGTAGCATGTCTCAACAGTCAATGTAAATGTGTAACTACCTCCAGTACAGAATGCTATATACTTAGCCAGTCATCTCCTACTATATTATTTCCTAATTCCTTTACATAATAGTTTATGTATCAGTAGTCGGTGTTCCCCGATGCTCGTTATATAATCCCCGCCCGGCGCCAGTCGTCTGGGCGCCCCGAGTGTCGCCCGAGCTGGTCCCGGGCGGGCGGGCGGTCGCTTCTTAGATTTGTTGGCTTATTTTTTCGTCGCCGTACTTTTAGTTAATGGTCCCTTTTGATATCGAACGTTTCTTATTTAATAGCTAGTTTATTGTTCACGGGGACCCGAATGTTGGATGTGGCGCCCGAACTGGGGCAGCGTACTTTAATACGTACTACTTAGAATATTTAAATGATACTAATATTTTGCGGATATACTATTTTTGGAAGAAATTAAATTATGTGTAGTATATAATTGTATATCCGAAAAAAATTCACGAAAGTCTAAGATCTCATTATTCAGAATATCTCTATTTTAAGTCATGTTTTTATAATTTTATTCTTAACCTCTGTTTCTAAGTATTATAATGTTTGTTCCAGGTATACGAGTAGAGATGTGAAGGGTAGACTATACAAACACCGAACAGTGCCTTAAGTTTATAAACTAAATTAATCAAGTGCCTAAATTAGAGTTAGAGTACAAACGAACGATAAACGAGAAACGAATATATGTTATTGGTGAGTGGCCCTCTTATACATATACGTTCTACGACTAGTATAATAATTATATAAAGAAAAATATTTTAATATCTCCCATACATTAATCTGTTTTTTTCGATAATATTTTCAAGTTAAAGTCACTTAACTTTTGTATGTTTTTTCAATCAATCTATCCCATAGTGGTGAGTGTAAGTCGTTCTGTTCGTCTCAGCGTGTGTTCTAAGTGCGTTATATTTTCACTGGATGCTGTTATTTTTCACAATTTACCAAACGGAGGGTCTTTGGGGGGTGACTGTCATCGGACATGGAAATAAGGAACTGAGGCTACCAGCGGGACGTCTAAATCACTTATATATACTTACATATATGTTTTTATATGAATTTCGAAATAGCCTAGCTTTTTAGATTCTATACTATCGAAATATCTTTAGTCATAATTCTTTTAATAAAAATATACTTAAATACCAAGCACGAAATAATGACCAAAAAACTACATACTTTAAGGGTATATGTATAATTTTAAACATTAAATGACTTTCCAGTCTTAATTTTCTTTAGTTAAAATTATAAAAAATTGCATCGTTTTCAAAACAATAATGATTAAAATTTAGTTCACTTAGTAACAAGATAAAAAATATATATTTAAATCGAGAGTCATAATGCAAAGAACAGTAATAAATTAGCCCAAAGTAGTGCGATCTTTAACAGATTGACTATAAATAAAGCATCACTTAGAGATCAGACCGTAATCAAATAAACTCAGATATACAGTGCATTGAAGTAACGGGTCAAAGGCCTAGTATAAAATGTATAGGGTCAAAAGAATGTGTCGTAAAATAATATGTACATGTATTATTTTTCTTTAAAGCATATAATTATTAAATTATCAACAAACTTCGACTCGAAATACAAAGAAAAAAAAAAATAATTTTATCTTTCTTCTATATAATAAAATACGCGCAGTATATCCGAAAAATATAAGTTTCATTTAAATGAATACCTACTATCGAAAGTCTTATATGTCATTAAGGTGTATATCTGTATGTAAAACATATTTTTAAATGCCATGTAGCCTCTCATCAATGTTCCTACCAACTCATCTATATGATTGCTCCCAACTCTTTGTATATTTTTTTCGTTGATTATTCAAGGCGACTTCATCGGTTATCAACATTCGATGAATAATAAACCCGCCATGAAGTCCCCTCATTAGTCAGTACATGTCGGTATGAACAATCTCCAATCATCTCCACCTTGTTTCGATGTATCTCATTATCTGTTCCATCCCTTCTATCCTCGTCCCGAGCTGTCATCTGACCCCATCCAGTCTACACGTATTACTTCTACTTCATCGCACTTCATATAAATATTCATAATTGTTATATTTAAAGCGCCACCGAACCCTTCTACAATGGATGGTCGCCCGCTGATGTTTTCTTTAATAATTTGCGGTCCTTTTGTATCAAAGTGAACGCGTGTATGATTTGTCTTTTAGTCGATCCTACATGGAGCGTCACGCTTGGTTCATGTTTGCCAATGAGTCAATATAGCTAATGATCAGTTATATATATTTTTTGTCGGTCATCGTCTAAACTAGCCCGTCGTGACTCCACCGTCATCCCCATGAGTCGGTCGTCTTGCTTCGATGCGAATCAATAAACAAAATCACGGAGGCCGGAAATCCGAGCGGCCTGCGAGATGCATTTCCATCTTTCACCGTCTTTTCACCCTCCGAACATCATCCCTACAGCGTTCCCTCTTTGTGCGGGTGCGAGGGGGACGGGCAGAGTCCGGGGCGCATGCGCGGGCCGACCCCTCATAAGCGTCGGAGAAGGTTGATAGTGGTGAACAAGAGATCCTGGCTTGTTGCCGGGCTAGAGGAACATTCCTCCGTGGATCGTCCGTGGAGTCGGAGGTCCGCTCTCTCGTCCCCGGCCTTACTCTCAACCAGCTAGTGCTCAGATGTAACTTACATCTGATGCACAGTCCGACTTGTCCCCAACCTCGACTTTGATTTTTCTCTGGTATTCTGCCGTACAATTCCTATCCTCAGTCCATCGTTAGCCGTCCTAAGTCCATTCAACTGTGGAGGGTAACCGGGGAGTGAGAGAGCGAGAGGGGAGAGTATATTTTTAAAGTGGAAGCGAGACGACACGATGCAGCGCCGCTCCCGAGCGAGGTAAGTGCCACTTGCAAGCCACGTGTTCAAACTTTTAGTTCCTCGGTGTCAGCTAGTCGTCCCCGGCCGGCCAGCGGCTGTGTTTTGTTCGCTCGTTCATTATACAAACTGTTTCCTCGTCGTGGTTTTGTCTTTTGTATTTCAATAGATTGCTCTTTTAAGGGTGTGCTACCTTTTACCTTTTAAATCCCATTTACCTTTTGTGTAATTGAGATTAAAAGAAAAAAATATCTATACCTTTCGTCATATCTTTCGCGGTTATAATAGATTTATTTTTTGTTTTCGTAAATTAAAAAAAGGATACTATAAGATTGAAATCTTTATAGCTAAAACCAAATAAATTTCCTTATTTTCTTAAATTTTCTTCATAAAAATTAATTCCCAAAAAAATATATATGTAATACCGTAAAAATAATTCAATGCTCAACAACAAGTCTCCAAATCCTATAGCATATGATATGAAGGCAGTCTTTAATTAAATCAATCAGTGCTCCTTAATCATCTCCCTCTCAGTCATCTGTCAGTCCTTCCAGCATCCTGTGATCATACTTACTTAGTCTACTACATTAGCGCGTTGTAACTGGCAATTATGGACTTAGGGTCCATCGTTATTCATAAAAGGTCTACTGCAATCTTTAAATGCACTTACTTTATTTGAAATTTCGATATTTTTTATCCTAAATAATTTGCCCGCGACTTCGTCCGCGTTAATTTCGGAATTGGTTATTATGTATTGGCAGATTTTATTCTGGCCTAGAACCTATAAATAACTAGATATTGGAATTTAATTTTTTTTTCTACTCTACTCTTATTCTAGGTTCTAATCTATCTCTCCACCAATTTTTAACCATATCCGTACAGCTGTGCTTGAGTTATAAATAGTGTAACTAACACGACTTTCTTTTATATACGTAGATATTTTATGATATCGCGGAAATCTTTCTGTCCCAAACAGTCTTAATTTAACTTAAAATGCTGTTACATTCCAAAAAAAACACACAAAATGATTCGTAATTCTTATTAAATAATCGTACGGAATATTTTTTTGTATACCGTAATATTGATAAGGATGATAAAAAAATGATAACAGTGCATTGGCATTTCCAATCTCAGCGTTAGTGTGATGTACTCGTATTATTTTATCAGTTACACCAGTGTGATCAGTTCCTTAATTGGTGCTATCAATCCTCACACACCTCTATATGGCCTTGTGTCATATTCCTCGACACTTATACCGGTTCAATTATGACGGCTATTTTCATTGCTTTTTCTTATATCAATGTATTGATTGATAGATCCTTGTAGCATAGTGGTTAAAAGCCCGCCACGTGCGTGAAGGTACGGGTTCGAAACCTGGGTTCCAATGTGATTGTTCCGAGTCATATGTACTTTCTGAAATTATTTAGATACCACTGACTGATGAAGGAAAATATCGTGATAAAACATGGACTTATAATATCAAATTATAAGTTTGAAATCGCCAACCCGTCTTGAGCGAGCGTGGTGATAATGCTCAAACCTTCTCCATGTGAGAAGAGGCCTTTGCTATAATAGGCTGATGATGATGATGATTAATAAAATATTAAAATTAAACTTATTGAATCGACTGAATCAAATTCCTATGAATGTGTTTTAATCAGATCATATATTTGTCTGTCGTTACTTCGTTGTTTGTATAATGTATTAGCTCGTTAGTCCAAGTCATTCATTAGTCTCCCCACGTCTCCCCACGTTCCTCTGCCCGCTGCGAGGCTCCCTCCGTCAATGTGTTTACATCATACGTTTTCTTTCTGTTTACACTGGATTTGTTTACCGTATATTTTTTTATCATATCATATTCCTTGTATATTCTTTGTTCTGTCGCCTGTCAATCGTCGCCCTTGTATAGTAATCCCTCTAATGCGGAGTCTGTCTGTCTGTTCTGTTCCATATTGTCCCCTAATTCGCTAATAGTAACCGGATCGTATATCCCGCGTCGGTCACCGTGACTTCCGCCTCTCACCGGAAGTTGATCTCGTCATGTTTTATTATTATATATTTATTCTCGTAGCCCGCTCCCGATTAGTTCCTGGAAAAATTATTTTAAGAATGTTTACGCTAACATTATTAATGAAAATGAAAATTGTCCAAGTAAAAGAAAATAATTATTTTCATCTTTCTATTATTATATTATAAAAGTCAGTCTTTTTTGTTTATTTATTTTTGTATTTTACAATCTAGAGATTGTTGATTTATTCCGCATAAGAATCTTTACTTTAAATTAAAAAAAAATGGAACAAACCCATTTAATTTTTATTCATTAAGTCAGTTCCGTCAAAAATCTTAAGGCTACCCAAAATTCAATTATAATCTCGTCATACATGTAATCTGCTTATATATACACACACACATATATATATATATATATATATATATATATATATATATATATATATATATATATATATATATATATATATATATCTTTCGACGTCCATAATGAACGCCTTTAAGAACTCGGGCGCCAGACCTGCCGACGCCTGAGTCTATTGATCCCGGGGGGAAGGGGAAGGGGGACAACGGTTATAGACTTAGTAAAAACAATTTAAGTATTGGACCACTAATAGTCCTAGTGAGACATCTTCGTGTATTTCACCAACAATTTTGTACAATTTTTGCATTTTTATCGAGACTACTTGTAAGTGGGTCTTTGTAAATAAATACCTTTTTATTTCATCCGAATTTAAAAACTTAAATATTTTAGCACAAATTTTATTTTAATTTTTACGTTAGGAATTATGTAAATAATTTCGATATATAAGTACTTCAGATAAAGCTTATCTTTCGCAAATATTATGAAGTAGTCCAAAAATGGGATTTGTAAATAAAGTGCATCGTGGGAATATATTACGATGACTTACATCTAAAATTAAAAACATTTTTGTTTGGACTCTGCCTCTAAGAAATTACTTAGTATTAGCACATTTATATAATATTAATTCTAAATAATAAACTACCCCTTAGTAAATAAAACTATTAAAGTATTGTCAGCTCGTTGAAGGGGTTGTGTCTACTTGAGCGACCCCGAGACGTCGCGTTATCCCATCACTACAAACAACTTGACAAATATGAAACCAAACACTATAATAAGTCACCTTTGTCCTCTCCATATATTGTTATTTTCATGTCATAATTGATATTTATTTTCTATATTATCTTCTATATTATGTAACTTACTCGAATAATCTTTATAAAAGCTTTCGGCTGTTAATTTTTTTTATAACATTCGATAGTAAATATTTTAAATAGATTAATTTCATTTTATTACTATAAATCCTTTCGATGGATGGTCGTCATTAATGAACTGATGTCACTTTGTATGAGTTATTTTCATTATAACAATCGATTAAGACTTTCGAGTTATATAGATTTAAATGAAACTAATATTTTTCGGATTACTATGCGTGCTTTATATTTATACATACTGCATCTGTCATGATAGACATTCACATCTCGTCTGTCCGTGATCACGGTTGCTGAGAAGTAACCGAAAAATTGGGAGTATGTAGTTTTTACAAAAATAAAGTACTCATAGTATATCTGTAGAATGTTAGTTTCATTTAAATGATTTATTCTCATTATATAATATACTAGCTTTTGCCGCGACTTCGTGCGCGTGGAATAGTGACTTCCGGCAGATTTTTGGTTCTTCCCACATAGTTCCCGTTCTTGTGGGGTTTTCGGAATGGTCGAGTTCCCGTAGAATTTTCAGGATAAAACCTATGTTTTTTTTATCACAATGAAGTACTCTTAACCAACAACATATTTATTTGTTTATTTGAATAAAGATTAATATTATTATGTTGATACAACTTAAACAAATTATTTCGACCAAATTAGTTACCATAAAAACGGTTTTTGTGAGTTAATCTTAAAAGATAGACATATACTGTTGCGGACTGTTTTTTAGACAATTAATAGAGCTATTATTCTTTAATACATATTTTTTGTGTATCTTGAACCGTTTTCACGGCGCACGCAACGGAAGGGTTCAAAGATGAAATAATTTCTCCCGTTTTTTACACATTTACCACTATATCTTTGCTCCTATTGGTCGTAGCGTGATGTTATATAGCCCATAGCCTTCCTCTATAACTGGACTACCCAACACAAAAAGAATTATTCAATTCGAACCAGTATTTTCGGAGATTAGCGCTTTCAAACCAACAAACAAACAAACTCTTCAGCTTTATAATATTAGTATAGATGTCTAAACACATCTATCTTCACGTACCGTCGCGTCTCTTCATATATTCTGTTCCGTCCGAGTCGCCCCAGTTCCGTCTCTAGGCAACGCGACGCCGCGGCGCCTCTACAGATTCTGAGAGATTCATATTTGATGACGTCAAAATGTTTAGACATTATTTCGAACAGAACATACATACAAACATATTATTATATTGTTTAGTATTGTTCTTAGTACGTAATACTTTATTAACTCGTTTAATTACTTCGAGGAGATCGAAAATATTTTTACGTCTTTCCGTTCGTTAATGAGTGATGTCTTATAATTAATATTATTTCTTAGAACGTATCCAATTATTATTTTTAGCTAATACTATATTTATCACATGGATTCTCTTCTATATTATTTAAATTCTTATATTAATTATGTTCTTCGTAGTTTATATGAGAAATGCTTCCTTAGTTTCATGTGTACCCTTCATCCACAGTATTTTCGTTGACTTCATACTCACCCTTTCGTTTTAAGTCCTACATTATAATATTTATCACATTTTCAATTCATGCAAGCGTCACATACAAATCGCTTGGAAATATCGAAGAAATCGTTGGTGCAGTGTAATGGTGCTTTGTATATTTTAAAGGTCATATCTTCATGAGTATATCGTCCATGTAAGAAGGGCACTATTAAAATTCTTGGAATCTCCGAATACCGATGGATCCTCGCAGGGGTCCAAACTACCCTTTTATGCAAAACTCAGCAATAATCCCGAATGTTATAGTCATGGGGTTTTTTCGTAATGAGTGCCAGACTTGTTATAGGCACTTGTCACCGACCGTTCTTCATTCAGATGAATTTTATTATACAGCTTATATTTTAATGCGTCTATATTACTCGACTGATGTCTATACTCATGACTGGGAATACGTTAATAGTATTACGAAGTCGTGGTGGTCTAGTAGTTAAAGACCCGCCTCTCATGCATGAGGGCGTTGGTTCGATCCTGGCAAGTACCAGTGTGATCGTTCCGAGTCATACTATATATACTATCTAAGAGTATTTACCTATTTAGACACCACTGACTGATGAAGAAAAACATCGTGAGGAAACCTTAACTTATAATTTTAAATTATCAGTTTGAAATCGCCAACCCGTCTTGCGCAAGCGTGGTGATTGATGTTCAAACCTTCTCCATGTGAGAAGAGGCCTTTCAGCAGTGGGCTCTGATAGGCTGATGACAATTACGATCATTCGGGTTTTATAGAAATAAATTACTAACTAATAACTTCGCTATTATTTTACATAGTTTATAACATTTTATTGTAATATTTTGTCATTAAGGACGTACCAAACAATAGTTTTAACCAGTTAATGTTGATATGTAGTGTAATCGTGTCAGAAATAGATTCCAAACTGGTATCCCGGTCAATAGCCCGCTTTATGACTGTTTCAAATTAGTCCGAGTACCGACACGCGCTCTCGTTCAACAAAACTAAACAAAGACGCCAGTTTCATAACAAAATTCGCTTAACAACAGATCTTTGTTAATTTATTTAATAATTTTCACAACCAGTATCGACTCGTAACTAACTTTCACTTATTTTTACGTTTATCTCGTTTTAAACTTTCATTATCGTGTCGTAATTATTGAACGTAAAGACTGGACGTATGCAGTTTGAATGTCTGGAAGTTTCGTTTTATAAATAGAAGACTGAAATAAACTTAAAATCATCCCGAAACTACACGACCGCGCACATTACTTACAGTTGTGTTACAAAATGATTGATAGCTTCGACCAACAAGTTACAAGAGAGGCAGACTAATGTGATGATTAAAACAAATATATAATACTAAGGTACTATGTTGTGTGAAAGAACATTTTGTCTTCTTCTACCTGGCAATTTCCCAGCTTTAGCCAGGGTCTGTCTTACATGTTGTGAATAGTTTGGGCTAATTGTTTTTACGACCGGCCGCCTGCCTGACATCAACCCTCTGGGAAGAACATTTTATATGCAACTAGAACTAGTTCATATCGCCCTATAATCAAAAAATATCTGTTACGATTTTTTTATTTATATTTACCTATTAAAGCCATAAATCTCCGTGTTCTGAAGTGCGACAGAATGATTGACATATTAGTTAGTTGTCAAATCTAATGTAAAAAAAACCTTTGTATCAACAACTTCTAATAAATTAAAAATTAATTAAAAAATCATTGTCCAGCGGACAAAATTGTGTATCTATACAATTCTCAGATCCCCTTGAACACAAACAAAAAATTTCATTAAAATCGGTCCAATCGTTTGAGAGAAGTTCAGTGACATACACACTCACAGAAGAATTATATATATAAAGATTTAAAAATTTATTATTCTTACAAAAAACTAAGAAAGCAAAAAAAAAAATTTTATAAAACAAATGTAAAATATTTTCTTAGTATAGAAATGTAATAATGATATATTATTATTATTATTTTCTTAGTATAGAAATGTAATGATATATAGTAATATTGATTGTATATGTCAGGTATAAGTCGAGTGTTCACCGTAAGCATCAGTCGCGTGACGTCATCACGAGCGGAGCCGGCTGCTGCGATATAGCTGGAGGCAGCTAACGTAACACCTGTAAGTTGATGATGACGAAAATGTTAATCTTATTCAGGAGAGATCAACCATTTGATAAATATCTTGTACTCATGTAAAGTCGCGGGGCAATGCTACATAATATGTAAAAGTGGCATATATTTTCCATCTTGAATAAACAGTTATAAGACTTTTGAATCTTTTCGTCTTTATACAGCCACGGGCAAAAGTATTAGGCACCCTACAGGAAGACAAGTTTTAGGGTGTTTTAGCATAGCGAGTGTAAATAAAACTGTATTTATGATTACAATGGTTTATTTTAAGAAAATAATTAATATTTTGTAGGTCCACCTTTTGACTTAATAACCGCAGCCACTCTTTCTGGCATTGACTCTACCAGTCTGAAACATTCTTCTCTTGATATATTTTTCCATTCCTGTTGTAACGCGGCCAATAGAGCTTGTTTATTGCTAATCGAGTGCCTGCGGATATTTTTCTTTAAAATGGACCAAATATGCTCAATCGGGTTGAGGTCTGGTGATTGTGGTGGCCAGTCCAAAAGATCAATATGATTTTCAGCAAACCACTTCATGGTATGCGCGGACTTGTGGCAAGTGGCGTTGTCTTGCTGAAATTTCAGGCCATCGGTGTTTGTGTCACCGAAAATTTGCGTTATCGACGTTGCTAGTGCTGTTTTCAGAACTTCAGTGTATTTAACACTATTCATTCGTCCCTCACACAACACCATTTCGCCCACTCCGTCGGCAGCCATGCAGCCCCAGATCATTATTGAGCCTCCACCATGCTTAACAGTGGGAACCACACATTCTGGGTTGTATTCTTCGCCAACCCTTCGCCTAACATAAGTCACACCGGGTGTTCCAAACACCTATGCCAAACGAAAAAAACACATTTATTTTCAAAGTTATTATTTTTCTTGCAGTACGTTATTTTAAAAACATTTATGTGTTTTAATATTGTACATAAAATAAATAACAATACCTCAAAGTTAGATTCGTCTGACCACAGTATGTTGGACCAATCTTCCACTGACCAATCTCTATATTTGAGTGCCCACTCCAACCGATTTTTCTTATTGTGTTCTGACAGCCACGGCTTCTTCCTTGCTTTACATCCTTTTAATCCAGCTTTAAGAAGTCTTCTTCTCACAGTATAAACACTCACTGAGCTGCCTTTTGCCTCAGATAATGCTGCAGCGAGCTCTAAAGCAGTTTTTTTCCTGTTTTGTAGAGACTGCCTAATCAACAATCGATCTTCTCGTTCAGTAGTAACTTTTCTTCTGCCTGTTCTTGGTCTATTTTCATGGGTGCCAGTCTCTTTGAAGCGATTTATAGCATATTGAACTGCACATCGCGAGCACTTCACTTCTCGGGCTATTTTAACCTGAGACATGCCTTGTTCATGTAAAATCTTAATTCTTAGACGCTGTTCAGCACTAAGTTCAGATTTTTTCGGCATGATTAACACGTTAAATGTTAGTCTTTAGAATTGTGATAGGAATAGTTGCGTAGAAGACGTGTATGTTCACTGCAAGCACTGATAACACACTATAACCCGAAACGCAAAAAAAGCAAATTCGAAGAAACACCGCTTAGGAGCACACCTGGATGTCATAAATATTTTCTTTTATCTTAATTTGGTTAAAAATTGCCGCTAATACAATAGCTAAACCATAAAACACAGACTTGACCGCAATATAATGAGATAGTGACTAACAATAGGGGTGCCTAATACTTTTGCACGCAGCTGTAGTAGCATCTGGTCAAACAATTTCTACCATTTCAAAGGTCCTTTCGCAGGAATAAATAAGTTCTCAATAGGAATATAAACAAATATAATAAGAGTTTTGTTTGTTTTCAGGAAGCAAACTAAAACAAAAAACAGAACAGATTTAGTGAAGGAAGACGTCCACCCACCAGACGAAAGAACCTAGAATACATAGGACTTAGGTGAGCAGACTGTTTAGGACTTATGAGTAGATTTGTTATATGTATATAAAATCTATATCCATTCCGAAAGAAGTTTAGCAAAAAAACTGACTTTTGGATTTCGTGCATAGAGGACATAAACGTTATGAAAGAAAAGCTTTGTAAATCTAAGGAAAGATCTTGGACAAGCTGATTTAATATTCAATATAAACTCATATTTAACGAGGAAATAAAAAACTATTAATGTCCTAAATATTACTTTTACACCTCTGTCCCAAATACGTGATGAACAACAGACTAATTTTACACTAGATGCCTCACAGATTACCGTTGTTACATCATTTTATACCACTTTTATGATCTATTACATCGGGAGGAGTTTGTGTTGTATATTAATCTGTCTTGGATAGATCGCGTGCCCTGATCAAGATGGCGACGCTGTCGCTGAAGATATCCCTGGAAGGAGGGAAGGTGGTGAAGACGATACAATTCGAGCCGTCCACCAGTGTGTACGACGCCTGTAGGATCATCAGGGAGAAGATACTGGAAGCTAATGACAATGACCGTGAGTTATGACAATTATATTACTTCATTTGCTGATATTATCAGAACAAATAACACTGGCTATAAATAGAAAAGTTTAAATAATATTTACTCAGTTTGGAGGTGATAGAACAGTTTAATATCAATAAATAACATTCAAATAATAATGTATATGATCCAACAGCTAAAGAGTATGGCTTGTTCCTGGCCTCCGAGGAGGACAATAAGAAGGGCATCTGGCTGGAGGCGACCCGCAGCCTGGACTACTACATGCTGAGGAACGGAGACCTACTGGAGTATAATAAGAAGACCAGGAACCTCAGGGTGCGGATGTTGGACGGTGAGTATTGGAGAGGTGGCTAGTATAAAAAGACTTGTTATATTGGACCATCTAGGCTGGTAAAAAATCGGTTTAACCTGGAATTTTTTAGAACTAGAGTATGATTTTTATATTATTTCATACAGTCAGTTGTCCTATTTAGTACTTTTCTTAACAAAAAAATATTTTAGAATTGACTGAGACTTGATGTAGGTACTTGTATTTTGGTTAATATTAATATAAACTGTTCAGGCACTGTCAAGACCCTGTTAGTGGACGACAGTCAGATAGTAGCCAACCTGATGGTGGTGATCTGCACCAAGATAGGCATCACCAACTACGACGAGTACGGCTTAGTGAGGGAGGAGGTGAAGGAGGACGCCGACCCCTGCGAGAGACCCAATTACGGGACCCTCACTCTGAAGAGGAGACATCATGAGAAGGAGAGGGACGCTAAGATGGAACAGCTGAGGAAGAAGCTCAGGACTGACGACGAAGGTGACTTACGATAAAGTTTTTATTATATGACAAAGGGCATACTAGTAGATGACCTACGGGATGGAGGTAGTACCGTCGCTCATGGATTATACTATGGCAACTGTATGTGGTACTTCCCCGGTCGAGCCAGAGCATGTTCGAGCTGTAGTAATTTGATTACAGCTAGCTACCGCCATAAGGCTTACTCAGAAGTCACTTTCGAACAGAATTTATAGCTATAATTTAACGAAATACCTAGGATTGACAATAATTCACAAAATATAAGCCAATCTTCTTTTCTCTAGTGAACTGGGTGGAGCCGTCCAAGACTCTCCGCGAGCAAGGCATCGAGACCAGCGAAACGCTGCTGCTACGTCGGAGACTGTTCTTCTCTGACCGGAATGTGGACTCTCGCGACCCCGTGCAGCTCACACTACTGTACGTGCAGGCCCGGGACGCTATACTGGCTGGCACACACCCCATCACACAGGACAAAGGTCAGCTGACATACACACACACACACAACTAGACACTAATACTACATATATAATATATATATACTAGAAGATCCGGCGAACTTCGTATCGCTCTATGATCAAGAAATCTCTGCTACATTTTTTTATTTATATTTTTGGAGTTTACCTATTAAAGCCATATCCGTGTTCTGAAGTGCGACAGAATGATTGACATATTAGTTAGTTGTCAAATCTAATGTCAAAAAAGTTTGTATCAACAACGACTAATAAATTAAAAATTAATTAAAAAAACATTGTCCAGCGGACAAAATTGTGAATCTAAACTATTCCCAGATGCCCTTGAACACACACAAAAAATTTCATCAAAATCGGTCCCGTCGTTTGAGAGAAGTTCAGTGACATACACACTCACAGAAGAATTATATATATAAAGATTATTATACAAACATTTGTTGTATATAGTCATCGTACATCATTGTACATCCTAACATTATTTTTATTTGTCCGTCAGCGTGCGAGTTCGCGGGTATTCAGTGCCAGATACAGTTCGGAGATCACAAGGAAGACAAACATACATCAGGATTCTTAGAGTGAGTACTCAATACCCCTTGTAACGTATCCAATAAAAAATGAACCGTCGTTATATTAACAATGGTATGTACTGACAGTCTGAAGGAGTTCTTGCCGGCTTCCTACGTGAAGGTGAAGGGGATTGAGAAGAAAGTGTTCCGTGAACATCGCAAGCACGCAGGCCTTAGTGAGCTTGACGCTAAGGTGCTCTACACCAAGAGCGCCAGGGACCTCAAGACTTACGGAGTCGCGTTCTTCTTGGTCAAGGTAATAGGATCTCATATTTAATAGAAATCATTATTTAGACACAATTATGTCGTTTTTAATATATAAACTAAAAGATATTTTTGCACAAGTAGATATTTACCAGAGACATATTCAATTGATTTTTCAATACATGCCAATTATAATGATAAACTCACTTCACCTAAGTACACAGAACAACCAAAGCAAAAAAAGTTGCAATTACATTTTTTTAATAGGAAAAGATGAAAGGCAAGAACAAACTAGTCCCTCGCTTACTGGGCGTGACCAAGGACTCGGTGTTGCGTCTGGACGAGAAGACCAAGGAGATCTTACAGACGTGGCCGCTCACCACCGTGAGGAGGTGGTGCGCCAGCCCCAACACGTTCACGCTGGACTTCGGAGACTACAGGTACGGAAACACACACATGTGTATTATATACTATATTGAATGTTTATATCATGTGAATATAAGAAAATAAAGGCCTTCATCTCGTGCATTATTAGGGCGCTTTCTAAGAGTATTTAGACACCACTGACAAATGAAGGAAAACATCGCGAGGGAACATGAACTTGTAATTTGAAATCACCAACCCGTCTTGAGCGAGCGTGGTGATTATTACTCAAACCTTCTTCACGTGAGAAGAGGCAGCTCAGTAGTGGGCTCTGATACACTGATGAGGATGATGATATCATGTGATACAAATCTATCGCTTCATAATATATCGGGAAATCTCGAATGTTACAACTATAGTCTTATTGTATGTTATAATTTCCAGCGACCAGTACTACTCGGTGCAGACGACAGAGGCGGAGCAGATCCTGCAGGTGATCGCGGGCTACATCGACATCATCGTGAGGAGGAGGCGCGCGCGCGACCATCTGGGGCTGGAGGGGGACGAGGGGTCCGCCATGCTGGAGGACAGCGTCGCGCCCTCCAAGTAACATATATACATATATAACCTACATATATATATGATCTACAACTCACATAACTATGCATAAGACCTACAACTCAATATACTCTTAGACTATTGAATAGTCCATTAAAAATTGGTAGGATACATACCTATAGTCTTCCTAAATGAAGAGTTTTTTAATCAAGAGACTAATGAGCTTTAGCTAACGAAAACGTTTATAATACAGACAATGAGACAAGATAAATTAATATATGTATTATTAAAGTTTAGTCAACATTAATATTTAATAAGTTTTGTTTATCATCAGGGCTAACATCATCCAACACGACACCTTCAAGTCAGCCAAGCCCAATCAGGAGTCAGTCGCCAAGCCCGCCGTCCTTAGACCTGGAGCGGAAGGTATGACGCCTGGAATAAATACAGCTGTAACTATATTACATATAAGTGTCGATACACTATTTACTTATATAGTATGTATATAAAGCTTCAAATAGGTCCGCTTCTCATATATAGTAAAGTTTGTATGTTTGTTACATATGTACTTGTATCTATACACCCTGTACATACAGTGATAGGTATACGTATATACAGGGTGACTGGTGAATTACTATCGATACTTGAGGACGTGATATTTGACGATCATATATGACAAAATAAAAATTAATATAACATAAATATTAATAAACTTCTCAGTAAAGTTAACTCAGTAAAGTGTCCACGCTTTATTTATTTATACGGAAATTTGGTCAAAAATTAAGTACCTATTTTTTTTACATAATTCGAATGAGAATCATGTACCGAGTATTCTCCTTAAATATTGATAGTAATTCACCAGTCACCCTGTATACGATGATATATCTTTTATTTTGCAAATTTTACGTCGATTGTGTTCCGTTGAAACAAAACTATAGCGAACAGTCTTACAAGATATGTTGACGGAATACAAATTATGTTTTTATTTAAGCTATGTATTTAGCTGTCATTGATTGATAAGGCTTGCGGTACTGGATTTTATATTATAGTTGATTTATAATCAGAAATCGATCTTTTCTATATAAATAACATGAAACTAGTGACTAGAACTATAATATGAGTCCAGTCCCCTCAGCCTTACCCGAGGCCCCCCGGTCTAAGCGGGCGAGGGGCCCGGGTCCTTAGTGTAAGTCCCCCTGGTGTGTAGGGGCCAAGCCGTTCTCTGTGGCGCACGTGACGGGGGCCCAGCAGACCACGCTCTCGGGGAGGGTCGTCACCGGACACGCGCCGCCTGCTGTCAGTACACACACACACACACACACACATAACCATATTGTATACATGATCATATATCTAGTAATCTTCAAGCTTACTATGTAAAATACTATGTATAAGGTGCACTTAAAATTCATTGAAAAGCGTGATTCTCATATAATATTAGGTACCTTTTAAAAAAATCCTACTAAACCAATGTAATGACGTCGAAGTGACGTCCCAAAATACGTCATCATCACTCACGAGTGACGTAACAGTATGGTGATAGTTAACAAGGATAATATTTATACTAACTCTACATAATTATAAATATATATTCAATAATGTTTAAATATATCAATATACGCATGGTTTCCTAGACAACTTGACCTACATAACCATATACTATATATTCTCATATACATATATGTATTGCATGTTTATTCTGTAGTAATAACCGTGCTTGTTTGCTCATCTGTTTCTTGTGTAAACTTTATAACTTATTTAACAATATAATGTCACTAACAGTCATTATTGTTCCACGCTAACATTGGACCTCCAGTCATACAACTCACGAGTGTACGTATCTACTAAACTCACACGTGACGGACGGACATTCAGATTTTTAAAATATATGTATATGTATATTTCCAGGCGACGCAAGTTCAACAAACAAAAATCACTTCTATACTCACGGAGCCGCAGAGGGCGCTGCTGTCGACCATCACGAGCGGCAAAGAGATCATCAAACAGACGGAGGCCGGGCTCACCAGGGTGAGAACACATATACACATACACACAAACACACACACATATATATATGCATATTATACCGATCTTAGAAGCGTGATGAATACATTCATCTGTACGATCTTATCTTGAGAACGTGAGAGTTTGATATTTCCTTTTACTAGAAATAAAAACGTTAATGACAAAAGTCATATGATATAAAACATAAGGCCTACAAGGCCAGGCAAGGCAAGTTAATATAACTTACCTTCGAAGACAAATGAAAATGATAAGTACATATTATTTCAATTTAGTGAAAATGTATGTAATATATATGTTTTAAAACGTCACCAGACGTCCTTGGAGCCCCCGAGCGGCGAGGCGAGCTCGATACGCTGGCGGGAGGCCCGGCTGGGCAGCAGCAAGCAGCTGGTGACGTCACACATAGCAGCTATGAACGCTGCCACAGCGCAGGTCGTCACCCTCACCGCAGGTAAACATACTACATCTCATTCCGTTCGTTCATTCGTTCATTCATCTAATTGATTGACCGGGACTGTATTCTGTATGTGTTCAGGACCGGCTGAGGAGGTGGACCACACGGCGGTCGGCGCCGCCATCACCACCATCACCACCAATTTACCCGAGATGACTAAGGGTGAGTGGTAACAATACCTTGTACCTTGTACATAGATTTATAAACACAGGCAGGTATATTATGCTATGAATTGTTGTAAAGGGGTACTGTGAGTCTCTTCTAAAGAAAATTCGTACTAGAAAGGTGATTCAGAACATATATTGTCAACTGTCTAGTACAGTCATTGTTAATTATAAGAAATTCTTCTAATTCAGGCACCCAACCTTAAATGCTTTCTTCGTTTTATGATACATACTATTAATACTATTATATGTAGTCAGACACTATGTTTTACTCCATCTATGTATTCCATGTTTCTCGTTAGTTGATAGTCAACATGGTACTTGTAATCCCCAGGTGTACAGATGATCGCGGCCCTCATGGAGGACGAGCACTCTGGAGACAACTTGTTGGACGCCACCAGGAAGCTCTGCACCGCCTTCTCCGACTTATTGAAGGCCGCTGAACCTGACACTAAGGAGGTACGCTGGGACTTGGAGATATTTATAATAACATTAAAATAGACGCTCTATTGAGCAGTGTGATTGTTTTAAATGATAAGATTCTTACTCTGATGATTTATAATAATAAATTCAAAAATTATTATACATTAAACACTCTGATGCTCATGTTTTAGTATAATTGTTTGTCCCTCTCCAGCCTCGCCAGAACCTCCTGAACGCAGCGTCTCGTGTGGGCGAGGCGTCCACCGGCGTCCTGCACACCATCGGCGAGGAGACCGACGACGACAAGGAGACTCAGGTAACCTCCGGGGACCTGTACACCCCCTCCATACACACTGATAGAGGTAACACAGACGACGACGGAATATACGAGGACGTGGACACGACCGGCTGGAAGCTGCTGGGGGTCATACAGGAGGAGTCCGATAGCGACTACTACAGGAGCGTGGACTATTGTAACACGTACTACAGGGACAACAGGCTGCGGGAACACCCTGTATACACGAGAGGAGATACGCCGCCCGCACTACACCCTAAGACGGGGGCTGATAAGAAGTACGACTTGAAGAAAGATTACTCCGACCATCACTACGCTAACATAGACCACGAGAAACACTCAGCTCTCGACAGGAGGACCAAGAACGAAATACTGAGACAGAAATTCTTCGCCGAATACAACAACGTTAATAAATGCAACAAAAATGAATTCAACGACAAAATAAACAGATTGAACGAAAAGAAAATAGAGAGTCATAGCCTGAGGGGTGACGCGAAGACAGGGGATAGAGATAAAACCGCGCTCAATATGAAGATGTTTAATATAGAGAAATATAACAGAGTGTTGACGACCACACACACATACAGAGAGATGAGCGAGGCGAGTTACACCAGCAAGACGATGAATATAAAGATGAACACACACACAGACGAGCTGAAGAAAGAGGAGTACACCAGCACGAGACAGACAGACAGAGACACAGGTCCACTGAACAACTCCGCACCAAGTAAAGGACAGACGGAGATCAGAATCACATACAACCCAATACTGATGACACACATACAACATGAAGACGAGAGTGACCCGGGAGACAAGCCTAGTAAAGAATACTCCCGACAGAAAGTACAGCTGATAGACATATGGAGAGAAGACTGGTTGAATATACTCCTATTATTGGCGTTCATTCTCATAGTACTAGCTATGTTCATAGATTGGCTCCTGAAGAGAGTTTGCAGCGAGAACTGCAATGAAACGACTTAAATTATATATACATAGATATATAACAAGAATCTCACAATTTTAATAATATTAATGAATATGGTACATATTGGTAATGCGGGGTTTTCTGCGTTAAGTATTAAGTAGATGTCTAAATTATTAAAGACTAAAAGGCTGTTAGATATTATTATAATGGAATTATCAGATCTGACCGAGCCACTCGTTCCTAGTCTATTTTTGATTGGATTTTTTTGACTGAGAATGTTCCTAAAGTATTTTTTGTTTGTTTTTTCTATATACATATATTTTTTGTTTTATTTTGGTTGTGGTACATTAAGCTAGACATTATTGACGAGTATGTAAATATTTTTTTGTCTCATATATTTTTGTTATGCTGGTACACATGGTTTATGCTATTTTTTTGATAATCTTTTAGACACGATGTTATTTTTGTACGTTTTATTTTTAACAACTAAGTGACTAATTATGATATTAATCTGATGTTAATACTTAATTAACTTTGGACGACGCTTACAATATTTTGTAAAGATATATTTTCTTTCTTGACAGTATTCTTTATCTTTTATCTTTCGAAATCTTTGACTGTACATTTATTTTGTAACATCTGCAAAAAAATTATACACAGCGGTAACAGTAGTTACTTGAAAGTATTTTTTTGTATATGTTTTACTATCAATGCCTCATTTTGCCATTTTTTTTGTTAATACATTTGCTTTGTTCATATTCTTGATTTTTATTTACAACTAACTCTCAAGTGAATGTACTGACAAAATACTCAATAACTAATATACCCCCATCGTACATCGGCTTATAAAAGTGCTTTAAACATAATTTTAACTTATTAATACATTTTTCAGTACTTTTATGGGCGAGATATGTAAATATTTTAAATCAAAGAAATAATGAGAGATGAGAAATTATTAATGAGTATGTATGTAATAGGTTCTTCTGAAAACTATTGTGACGAGAGGTAAAAATAATGCCACATATTGTGTAAGCTGGCATTTAATTGTGGGCATGTTATAAAATTTCTTATTGCAAACTATACTCTGTAAATATAATTAATCTAACTATGTTAACCTCAAAACTAAAAATTGTATTATCTGTGGCTGTTTAATAATATATATTTTTTAACTGGCAACTTTAAAATATTATAGGGCAATCATTGATGAATATTGTGGTTATCTGATTATTGTCATCATTAAATATTCTGGTCACTATATAGATAATATATTAGTTGGATTTAAGACTAGTGGCGCCGCCTGGCGTCTAACAAAGAAGTTACAATTAATAAATTGTAGTAAGTCTTCATGTATAGGCTGTTGTTTTCACTTGTGTATCTGAATGTACCAGGACATCCTGCTGTCGCTGGCGAAGGCGGTGGCGAACACTACAGCGGCTTTAGTGCTGAAGGCGAAGAACGTGGCGGCGCAGTGCAAGGACGAGCAGCCGCTGCAGAATACTATCATCGCTGCAGCGACACACTGCGCCCTGGCCACCAGCCAACTGGTCGCTTGCGCCAAGGTCCATATAAAACATTTAATTATAACAAATACTAGTTTTTGTCCTTGATTTCATCCGCTACGTGTCAGTTTTTGTGCTTAAAATAAATCAAGATAATATGAATAATACGTACTTAGTACACTAGAAATGTGAACTAATCGTAAGTGCCATCTATTACGTAGTTTATTTATTTCAAACTACATAGTAAATACAATTCTTATGATACATTGAAAGATAAATTAATAGCTGAAATACATAATCGGAAAGTTTCATCAGAATCCATTGAGTGTATAAACATGAAAAATAAAAACCATTAATATTTTGCAGAATGATTTTATATTTAATATGAAACAAAACCAAGTGAATTAACACATTTTTAAATTTATGTATTATACCTCTAGGTGGTAGCGCCTACGCTCCACAACCCCGCGTGCAGGGAGCAGCTAACGAGTGCAGCGCGGCTTGTGGCTCAGGCTGTGGAGAGGCTGGTGTCCAGCTGCCAGCAAGCGCCCCCCGCCGCTGGACCTGGAGTGGAACAGCTGGTGACCGCCGCGCAGAGGGTCACAGACGAGCTGGAGAGACTACTGGCTCACTGTCACCTGGGTGAGTCACTACAGAATGTAGACAATCAGTAACTTAGACCGGTATTCGGTGTCTCTTTGAATAATAAGGTTGAATATCTTACTGGATCTTATAACTATGATATAGTAGATGTAAACGCAGTTTCTTTCCCATATGCAACATGATGTGGTTAGGTTTAAAGAAGTTTATTTTCAAAAATAACCAAGTAATCTTACAAAGGAAATTTTAAAATTATAAATACAATTAAGATTACAAATAATAAACAGTAGTGATATTAAACAAGATCAGTGAAATCGTCTAATATATAGGTTCTCAATCGTTTTTTAAATATATTTAGAGATTTTGAATTGACAAGTGGTTAAAACACCTTTCCTTAAATAACAGTTGGATATTTCTTGATTAACCGATGTGTATCGTGTCAGATCGTCGCGTCCAGCCGTCCGTAGTTGAGCAGTCAGTGGAGGGCGTGGTGTGTGCCAGTGAGAGTGTAACCGAGGCAGCTGACGGACCGGAGATGGTGAGGCGGGCCCGGCTGCTGGGACAGGCAACCGCTCGACTCATAGCGGATATTAAGGTATACACTACATTCATGGTCTTTATCGCCCAAACAAACTAATTCTCGTACTAAATTTCTATGGAGGATATTTGGAATGTTCCAATATATTTAATCGAGTGTTTCGTTTGTACAGACTGAAGCTGAGAATCAACCTTCTGACTCCCAACGCAAGCTGCTGGCGGCCGCCAAGCTACTAGCGGACGCCACCGCGAGGATGGTGGAGGCGGCCCGGCTGTGTGCGTCACTACCACAGGTATACACACACATACAGCTGAGATCAGAGTAGAGGAATGTTTAATACTGTTGTTGTTAATGAAGAATGTTTAATACTGAATGTTTAATCAAGTTTGTTATCACGAAAAGTAACTAACAAATACTTTCTTTATCTATAGACTAAAGTATTTTTACAAACGATTCTCGATGACATGGCGTTTGTTAAAAGATGTTTTATATAATACAAATAAATATATATCAACAAGTCTATACATATACAACAGGACCGCGAGAAGCAGGAGAATCTCCGTCGGGCTGCGGAGGAACTGAAGATCATAGCGGCGGACTACGGCCAGCACCAGGCGGCGCCTGACAAACATAGGGCCAGGCTGGCGGTGAGACACTTGTATTAGAATGTAGCAAGGACGCTTGAGTACTGGGAGTGAGAGGGAACATAACGAATAATATTTAGATTTAAAGAAGTTTATTTTCCAAAAACAAGAACAAAGTTCACTTACAAAGGAAATTAAAAAAAAAGTTATTACTACAATTAAGATTACAAATAATAAACAGTAGTGATATTAAACAACATCAGTGAATAATATTTGTTATTAATAACATATTATCTTCTTCTTCTACCTGGCAATTTTCCCAGCTATAGCCAGGGTCTGTCTTTCATGTTGTGAATAGTTTTTTTTTTTTTGGCTATTTGTTTTTACGACCGGCCGCCTGCCTGACATCAACCCTCTTTTGGGAATCAACATTAATCATTGATGTCTAAATACTCTCAGAAAGTACATATGATTCGGAAAAATCACATTGGTACTTGCCCGGGCCAGGATCGAACCCGCGCTCTCGGCGACGAGAGGCGAGCCCTTTAACCACTGAGCCACCACTGACTTGATAACATATTATATTAATTATAAACTCATCGTCTGTTTAGGAGAGCGCCCGCCAGGCCGCGTCGAGCGCCACTCAGCTGATCACGTCCGCCCACAACGCCGCCCACTACAACACCAACAAGTACTCCCAGGACACGCTGTCCTCGGAGTGTGACGTGCTGGAGCAGCAGGCGGCCAGGCTGGCGCGGGCAGCAAGGAGCTGGGCCGCCGCGCCCGCACAGCCCGCCGCCAACCTCGACCTGCTGGCCGCCAGTGACGCGTTCCTACAGGTTACACAGATATACATAGAGACAAACATATATAAAAAAACCCGCTGAGTTCTTTCGCCGGTTCTTCTCAGGTCAGGGTACTTTCTTTTCCAAACCGATGGTAGTGTCTCAAGTGACCATCAATAAGAAAGTGTAATGCTTCTATATTGAATAAAGTTATTTGAGTTGAGTTGTTTACAATGTATGAGGATAAATTATGACACAGCTTTTGTGACATTTTTGAGTTCAAAATTCATAATCATCACCTGATTACCTAATATGTTATATAGTTAAAGATTCCTATTGGAAGCAATATCCAAAACGATCTGTAAATTTCAAAACAGAGTGCATAAGAAATAGTTCAATAAAAAGAAATTCCGATTATATTCTTTCAACCCGTATATGTATAAGTAACGTGTGAGTTTGTTTCAGCCGAGTGGTCACGTGATACAAGCGGCCCGCGGCGTGCTACCCACTATCAGCGACGCCACCGCCGCCAAGCAGCTGGCAGACACCACGCATCAGTTTACAGCCAGCTGCGCAGACCTCAGGTACAGGCCCTTATACACCCTCACCTGGTCAGAGATAGTCTAAGAGGAATGCTCAGGTTTAGAGATGATTTATTTCCCATTAAGAACAAAGTTCACTTACATATGAAACTTAAACTAGTAACATAATAATAAACATTTATAAAGTTAATGGTGACCTTATTTATACAAACATTCAAATATTATAAAGTTTGACAGTATGTTTTTAATTTAGCCTTAAATTTCAAAAAAGATTTTTCGTTAAATATTTCTTTCGGTTGATTATACAGGGTGACTGGTGAATTACTATCGATATTTGAGAGGTGATATTTGACGATCATATATGACAAAATAAAAATTAATATAACATAAATATTAATAAACTTCTAAGTAAAGTTAACCAAAAGTTATGTAATTAATTACGCATCGTGTGAACACCCTACAGATTAGGTATACACAGACACACACACTCGCGCGCGGCGGCGTGTTGTTGTATCAGCACGCCGCCGCACGCGTCCACACTTGGAACACTTGGAACGTGTACACACTTTATTTATTTATACGGAAATTTGGTCAAAAATTATGTACCTATTTTTTTTACATAATTCGAATGAGAATCATGTACCGAGTATGCTCCTTAAATATTGATAGTAATTCACCAGTCACCCTGTATATTGTACATTAGAGCTCCCTCAAATTGTATAGTTTTGTTACTATAATGTTTAGTTCTAGACTTAGGTATTTGTAATTTATGTATATTTCGTGTATAGTACATATTTATGTGATTTAGTCTTAAAAGTAGTTTGTGCGTGTATAGAGAGAGAATTTTTCTTATAAGTATGCATGTTTTGTATTTGTATAATTGTCCAATAGATAGTGTATCAGTTTTCTTGTAAAGTTTTTTGGTTGGAAAGCGGTAGTCCAGTTGGTGTAGTGTTTTTAATAGTTTGTTTTGTTTTGTTTGTTGAATGCTTGATATCTATATTGTGAAGTTATCCTTCCAAAGGTCATCGGCCTCCCGTGCCCGGTCCAGCGGTCGCGGCGGAGAGCTGGAGGCGGCCGAGCACGTGCTGCTGGAGCTGCAGGACGAGCTGGAACAGCTGGAGGCCGCCGCCAGGGACCTGGAACTGACACCCGTCCACGGGCACACGGTCAGATCATACGGGATTTGATTTTACTCTGAAATACACACACTCTTAAACTTCTCGTAAACCAACTTCCTAACTTATATTTATTCACTAGTTTCCAGAAACCAACATTATACACAACATTTCACAATACATATGATATTTTAGTTATTAGATTACTGTTTGTTTCGTTAATCTAAATCTTATATACCCCATCAGGCGGAGTGGGCATACAGTGCTCTCCAGACGTCTGGTCGGTCCGCTTCATCAGCGGGGGCGCAGCTTGCAGCAGGCGCGAGGCGCGGAGACGGCGCCGCTGCGGGCCGGGCTGCCTCCGAACTAGCCGCCGCGCTGAGAGACTTCACGCCGCCGCTGCGGGCCGCCGTCACTAACGCCAGCGACACGCACAGGCACAAGTATGAAATAGAAACTCGTACTTGAGACGTTGTATCAAACACTTGTCCATCCAATCCTAGAATATAATAGCATAACATAGAACCCTCATTATGATATTTATATTAAACGATTAGAAAACGTTCAAAAACGTTTCCTTTATCATCTTTCTTACGGCGACAATTTGGCCAAGAACTTTAAAAATTATAATGAACGACTAAAACATTATCGGAAACCTCTTTGAGATGTCGTAGGAAGATGATTGACTTAACAGTACTGTAAGTCCATTCGAAAATAGATTGTAACGAACTGTTACAACTACTCCAATTTAACATACGTTCTCGTGTGCCTCGGAAAAATAAATTTGCATTGTTTAACATTCCCTCAGCTAAAACGAATCTAGGGCATTATGCTACTATGTCAAGGATCTGTAGGCTATACAACATCCCGAGCTAGATATATTCAACCCTATAATAAATCAATACAAGAAATGTATCATAAAAGCACTCTGTTGACACTTTTTTTTTAAATATTCATTGCTCTTGTATACGTTCTTTGTTTTTTTTTTTTATAACATACTGTTCTTACTTACTGTATTCTTATTTGTAAACAAATTCACGATATATAATTGTTTTTAATGTTTTTGTTTTTTAAATAACTTTAACTATTAGTTCATATTTTTTTGCTTAGTCATGTTTAATTAGCAAGCTGTGGTCTCCTGTAATTGAAAGAGCACAAATTTCTGTAATATTTAGTATTGATTAGTCTAAAATTGTATACTGTGTATCTTTTGTTGGAAATCCTCAAATAAATAAATAACACTAACAAACACCTCCTGCAGGGTTCTGTCGTGCGGCAAGCAGGTCCTCCAGTCTTCTCTAACCTTGGTCCAGCGGGTCCAGGCCCAGCTGGCCAGCGGGCAGACTGACGACGAGGAGCTCATGTCGTTAGCGCGCGCGGTGTCCCAGAACATAGAGCACACGGTGGACGCCGCGCCCGCCTTGAGGGAGTTGGACGCAGCCCTGGACAGCATCGCGCAGACACTAGGAGTATTGGACATGGGAGAGTTCCCCACCAGCGACAGGCCTTACAGGTGACACGAACACAACAATATGTATGATATAAACCATATACAGCGCAAACTCGATATAACAAATCGGAGGGGAATAAGAAAATATTCGTAATATCAAGTAATTCGTTGAACTGAAGTTTGTTATGTTGAGGTGAGGTTGGTCTAAAATTCGTTATAAAAAGGTAAAATTATAGCTTTATTTACTTCAAAATTACGTAAATATCTTGTTATTGGGAACAACTTCTACTAATAAATTATATCACATTTTTATCAAATTACTACTGTTTACATTCAAACCACTTTCTTCTGAAAACTTATCTTTAAATTTTAAAATTGTAGACTATGTACTTGCGGGAATCCTGAACTTATTAGCTACGTCTAATTTTTTCGTCATAGGATTTTGGTAAACATAATTAATGATGTTTCGCTTTTCTGCGACCGATAAGGAACACCTTTTACGTTTCTGAGCCATTTTAACTTAAAACTAACAATAGTGACGAGCAGAAGAGTTTACATTACTTTTACTTTTCATCAAACAACAACGATTACTTTACGAACAAAAGCGTGTCGAGACATGAATTACAATATAAGATCAAGAGTTATATCATTGATGGGTACTTTATTAATTAGAGGTCTGAATACTTTTTCTTGATAGTTGAAAATTCGTTATAAAGAGGTTGTTCGAAAAGAATGTTCGCAATGTAAAGGTATATTTTATATTGACTCGTATGGACAATTCAAGGGGATTACGAAAAATTCGTTCAATCGAGGAATTCGTTATATTAAGGTTGCACTGTATATCCAATATGAATACTAATGACGTCATTATATATCCCCAGTGAGCTTCAAACGGAGCTGAACTCTGCAGCCGTCGAGCTGAACTCGGCCTCCGCCCGCGTGGCAGAGGGCGGTGCCCCTGAAGCCCTACCGCCCGCTGCTGAGGACTACCTCACCGCCTTCGATAGATTAATAGCTGTCGGTCTCGAGATGGCTGGACGCACTGAGGTAGTATTATATACATATGGTCTATTTTCAAAATGATTTATATAAACAAGAAAACAAATTAAACTGTAGAGAATTATCATTATAACGTATTTACGTCTGTATATATAAAGATAGTTTTATTTTTATGATATGATGTCTCATATAAATGTTGACTTTAATATATTTAAATCTATTTGAGCTTGGCTGTGAGACTATACATATATACTAGAAGACCCGGCGATCTTCGTATCTCCCTATAATCAAGAAATATCTGTTACGTTTTTTTATTTATATTTTTAGAGTTTACCTATTAAAGTCATAAATCTCCGTGTTTTGAAGTGCGACAGAATGATTGACATATTAGTTAGTTGTCAAATCTAATGTCAAAAAAAACGTTTGTATCAACAAGTACTAATAAATTAAAAATAAATAAAAAAAAATTGTCCAGCTTACAAAATTGTGAATTTAAACAATTCCCAGATCCCCTTGAATACACACAAAAAATTTCATCAAAATCGGTCCAGTCGTTTGAGAGAAGTTTAGTGACATACACACTCACAGAAGGATTATATATATAAGGATTTGTTATAATGTCATTATGTACACTAGGAGCTGGAGAGTCGTACCCAGATGATGGGATCTCTCAAGACGGTGACGGTGAACTCTTCCAAGCTGCTCATCACCGCCAAGTCCGTCAGCCAGGTATTGAAACTCTTATCTCTACATATACATACAAACAATAGATCAGTCCAAGTAATGCTCTGTAACTCGTATTTTCTATACAATAAAGATATATAAATATAACTTAGAATCCGGTTTTGAGTCATAGTATAATACATATAAAACTTATAGTGTCGATTAACTTTTAAGTTTTTAAGAATATGATATTGTTTTATTTCTTTAATTTTATTGTCATCCGTTATTTTAATTTTTTTTATGTTAAACAAAATAAGCGCGTCTCACCGTCAAGCAATAGCTTGGTGAGAACAAAAAAAAATTTCTAAACAATTATTACTAAGAAATAAATAAATTAAAAAAAAAGTGTTAATAATAAACAGCAGTAGACTCTCATAACCTCTAGTATCGATGATACATTTCATTTCCCCGGTCATTATGTATGTTTTTTCTCTAGGACCTAACACGCCCCAATGCTAAGAACCAGTTAGCAGCGGCTGCCCGAGCTGTCACAGATAGTATCAACGCCCTGGTAGACGTGTGTACGGAGGCCGCGCCCGGGCAGAAGGAGTGCGCCGCGGCCGTGAGGAACATGCAGGCAGCCCGCGCGCTCCTCACCGCGCCCTCACAGCCTCTCACTGAGATGGGATACTTCGACTGTCTGGACGCCGTGGTCGACCAGAGCAAGTTGCTCAGTGAGTACATACTGGACTATACACTACGAACAGAGACGAAACCTCTCATTATTCTATGAAATCGAAGTTTCATTAAAATCAGTCCAGTACATTTTATATGAAGGACTACCTACCTAGAAATGTGACCTCTCATCATTTTATGAAATCGAAAAGTTTCATTAAAATCAGTACATTTTATATGAAGGTCTACTATCTACCTAGAGATGTAACCTCTCATCATTCTATGAAATCGAAGTTTCATTAAAATCAGTTCAGTATGTTTTATATGGAGGTCTACCTACCTAGAAATGTAACCTCTCATCATTCATACATTCACGATGCATGTGTCGGGTTCATCGTTGTAGTGAGAGGAGCTTCAACAGTGCCTGGGACTTGTGACCCAGGTGTAGGTTTAAGGGACCCTATCTAACGCGTTCAACGCTCACGTCCATTGTCCAAGCTCCTCTCTCTACCAAATTTGAAAAGAACCTACTAGTTCTGCATGGGAAGAACTGACGTATCAATGAGAAAAATGTCTTTGATTTATCTGTATTCATATAGAGCATGTTTTTATTACTATACATATGTGTTTTGTGCAGGTGAAGGCATGTCAGGTATGGCAGGCGCAGTGAAGGTGGGGCCCGGAGCGACTGACCGTCTGTGTCGCTCAGTGGGCACTGTGGCTTCCGCTGTACAAGGGCTGGTGGAATGTACTGCACAGGCCGCTTACTTGGTACGTAGAACATATCACAAATACACTTATATAAGAAGAATATTGATAAGAAGTGTATGTAACACCTAATGATTTAGCTTCTTTAGAGATTTCGCCCACATGTCAAAATTTTTTTTGTCATAATAAATGTATTAGATCAGGATATATTATGTAAAGAATTATCAAGTTATCTACTACAGTTATGACAGGATGGATCAATTGTTAAGAGTGACTGGAACGTTATATTGAAGAAGACAGGTTGATATCCTGATTAAATCTATGATTGACTATATGAACATTTCAGAAACAGTACAAACAATCCCACGATTATCTATACATTATAATGAATGTAATATTCAAGGTGGCCGTATCGGACGAGTCATCAGTAGCAGGTCGCGCGGGTCTCGTGGACCAGGCCCAGTTCGCGCGCGCGGCGGCCGCCATTGACACCGCATGCGCCGCGCTGTCTTCCCCGCGCGCCCAACAACATCAAGTGCTGTCAGCCGCCACAGCCATCGCGAAGCATACTTCCGCACTGTGTAACGCGTGCCGAGCTGCCTCCGCACGGTGTACGGAACCACAGAGCAAGAGACACTTCGTCCAAGCAGCTAAGGACGTCGCTAACTGTACTGCTTCACTCGTCAAAGAGATCAAGGCTCTGGATGCTGATTACTGCGAGGTGACGACACTTGATACTTGATAATATATTCTTCTTACAATCATTTGATATTTCTGTTATACAGACATTTACTTTATCAATCGCTATATTCTATCTTCCAAGCAATTTCCAAGCTTTTGTCAGGGTCTGCCCAATATATATTAATAAAGGGTATATGTTACACCGAAAGTCATCAAACTCGATATATTGACGATTCTTCTAATAGCTTGGTTATTGATTATCCTTGCTGAATATAAACTAGAAGTAGTTGTTCTAAAACCCTCCTTAATATTAATGTAGGAGAACTTGTCCCGCTGTTCCTCCGCGACCCGGCCGCTCCAGGACGCCGTCCGTTCCCTGCGGGCCTTCGCAGACAGTCCCGAGTTCGCGGCGGTCCCGGCGAGGATCTCACCGCAGGCCCGCGACAACCAGGAGGCTATACTACAGTGTGGAAGGTAATAATACACACACAACTAGGAATTATGAACAGGACTGAAGCTATATCTGGGTAGTATATATTCATACAGGAGTGTTATTACCTTAGGTATAGGTTTAAAGAGGTTTATTTCCAAAAAGAACAAAGTTCGCTTACAAAGGAAATTTTAAAAATTATAACTACAATTGGGTTTTTGAATTATTTTTTTTTTGTGATAAATGGAAAGATCATATATAAGTTTAATAACAAAACTATTTTTATTTTATTTTTTTTTTGCAATATTTAAAAAGTTATTTCAAAATAAAAATTAAATTTTAAATTCAGTACCGAAGACAAGCCGACAGCTCGTGAATAAACCCGAGCGCGTGTGACGTCACAATGTTAGTTTTTGCTCATTGTAGCATACAGAGATATAATAATTAGTACAGTGTTTTGAGTTTTTATCTAGTAAATTCTGTTGGCATTGTTAAATAATCAAAAGTTTTGTACCATTATGTACAAAGACTACAAAAACAACTCCTGAAAAAATGTTTTTAAATGTTCCACAAGACGAAAAACGTCGAAAGAAATGGTTTCAAGCAGTGCATCGAGATTATTCAAAAACAAAATCATTTTTTTTTGTTGTGAAGATCATTTCGTTGTAAGTTTTCATAATAGTATTGTTATTAATTATTATTTATCTAAGTGTATAAATCGAATAAGTATAGTTCAATAATTAATTTTTTTACCTGGGCTCCAAATCATAACCTTTAGAATCGTAGCATTAAAAAATTTTAATTGATAATTCAAAGCGATTAAATAGTAAATCTATATATATGTTTGTCTAATAATTGGACTTCAATTAATAGATATTTTCATAATTTTATAACATTCTAGGTTCTGTATCAGACTACATTTAAATTTTTAAAGTACATATATGTTATTTTGTTTTTTTTTATAATGTTATAATAACATTTTATTAATAATGATTTAATGAAATAATTATTAATTATATTTAATAGAGAATAAATACTAATTTTCATTTAGAATAGTATTTTTTGACAGACTTACCTTGATGTCTTAGCACCTCGAACTTCAGCAAAATTAAACCGCACTTTTTAAAAAATTAGTTATCATAAAAATATATTAACATCAGGAATATTATCCGATTTTGCTTTTATAAATCCTTTATCACACATAGTCGAAATAAACTTTTCAAATCGTTTTTCACTAATAAATTTGAGATATTTTTATCAAGTTAAAGATAATAGCCATAAACACTGTACTATTATGAAATTGCTTTAACATTATGACGTCACAAGTATGCTGACCAATCATGGCGCGTTTACAGTCACGTGATATATTTTTGAATTTTATCAATTTTTAATTGTTTATAATTAATTTAAAAAATATATTTCAAGTTTTTTGCATTAAAAATCCAATATAATTAATAATAAAGTTTTAAAATACATAAAAAAAATCAATACTTTTTTTTTTTTCAAAAACCCAATTAAGATTACAAATAATAAACAGTAGTGATATTAAACAAGATCAGTGAAATCATCTAATATATGGGTTCTTAATCGTTTTTTTAAATATATTTAGAGATTTTGAATTGACAACATTTAGAGACAAAGAGTCATACCTTTCCTACTATTTCCTTGTTCCCACCCTTACCTTTTCTAAATAACCAAAGTTGGCAAATCATCCGTAATATCTATGTCGCGGATTTCCATGGGTGACGGTCACTACTGACCATCAATCCAACAAACGAGCAGACTGCCTGCTCGTTTGTTGGATTGATTGTGATCAGTCCGCCACTAGATATAAGCCTTATATTATATTTAATTAGTAAAAATTAAGAATTATATATGTAGGTTCTAGAATATTCAAACTATTAATTATTCAGGAGCATCATATCCGAATCTTGCTGTATGGTGGAGGCGGCGCGCGCCCTCGCCCTCAACTCGTCGGAGCGGACCCACTGGCACACGCTGGCGCACCACAGCAAGGCTGTGTCAGATACTATCAAGTCCCTCGTCACTAACATACGGTATATATACATACTACAGCCACGGGCAAAAGTATTAGGCACCCTACAGTAAGACAAGTTTTAGGGTGTTTTAGCATAGCGAGTGTAAATAAAACTGCATTTATGATTACAATGGTTTATTTTAAGAAAATAATTAATATTTTGTATGTCCACCTTTTGACTTAATAACCGCAGCCACTCTTTTTGGCATTGACTCTACCAGCCTGAAACATTCTTCTCTTGATATATTTTTCCATTCCTGCTGTAACGCGGCCAATAGAGCTTGTTTATTGCTAATCGAGTGCCTGCGGATATTTTTCTTTAAAATGGACCAAATATGCTCAATCGGGTTGAGGTCTGGTGATTGTGGTGGCCAGTCCAAAAGATCAATATGAATTTCAGCAAACCACTTCATGGTATGCGCGGACTTGTGGCAAGTGGCGTTGTCTTGCTGAAATTTCAGGCCATCGATGTTTGTATCACCGAAAATTTGCGTTATCGACGTTGCTAGTGCTGTTTCCAGAACTTCAGTGTATTTAACACTATTCATTCGTCCCTCACACAACACCATTTCGCCCCCTCCGTCGGCAGCCATGCAGCCCCAGATCATTATTGAGCCTCCACCATGCTTAACAGTGGGAACCACACATTCTGGGTTGTATTCTTCGCACACCCTTCGCCTAACATAAGTCACACCCGGTGTTCCAAACACCTATGCCAAACGAAAAAAACTCATTTATTTTCAAAGTTATTATTTTTCTTGCAGTAGGTTATTTTAAAAACATTTATGTGTTTTAATATTGTACATAAAATAAATGACAATACCTCAAAGTTAGATTCGTCTGACCACAGTATGTTGGACCAATCTTCCACTGACCAAGCTCTATGTTTGAGTGCCCACTCCAACCGATTTTTCTTATTGTGTTCTGACAGCCACGGCTTCTTTCTTGCTTTACATCCTTTTAATCCAGCTTTAAGAAGTCTTCTTCTCACAGTATAAACACTCACTGAGCTGCCTTTTGCCTCAGATAATGCTGCAGCGAGCTCTAAAGCAGTTTTTTTCCTGTTTTGTAGAGACTGCCTAATCAACAATCGATCTTCCCGTTCAGTAGTAACTTTTCTTCTGCCTGTTCTTGGTCTATTTTCATGGGTGCCAGTCTTTTTGAAGCGATTTATAGCATATTGAACTGCACATCGCGAGCACTTCACTTCTCGGGCTATTTTAACCTGAGACATGCTTTGTTCATGTAAAATCTTAATTCTCAGAAGCTGTTCAGCACTAAGTTCAGATTTATTCGGCATGATTAACACGTTAAATGTTAGTCTTTAGAATTGTGATAGGAATAGTTGCGTAGAAGACGTGTATGTTCACTGCAAGCACCGATAACACACTATAATCCGAAACGCAAAAAAAGCAAATTCGAAGAAACACCGCTTAGGAGCACACCTGGATGTCATAAATATTTTCTTTTATCTTAATTTGGTTAAAAATTGCCGCTAATACAATAGCTAAACCATAAAACACACACTTAACCGCTATCTAATGAGATAGTGACTAACAAAAGGGGTGCCTAATACTTTTGCACGCAGCTGTATATACCCTCAAATATCTTAAAGAAACAGTTCCTATACAAGAGGCCTTGTTACTAATGCACTAGAAAATATCATTAGTATGAGATTTCCGTGGGCACTTTATCCAGAAAACATTTATAACATTAGTTCTAACAATGATTGTGTTTATAGTAGCTTTAAACTCGGAATTAGCTGTTTTATATATGATTGTTTCTCCTCTGTTAGTGAGAAGGCCCCCGGTCAGCGGTCGTGTGAAGCAGCTCTCCAGGTGATCGTTCAACAGCAGCGAGCCCTGGACCTGGCCGCGCTACAGGCTGCTGGGATGGAGCTGCAGCCACATGCTGGGAACACACTGCAGGGTCAGACATACATACATACTACACGAACAATATAGGCGGACGAGGAACTAATATTATTATAATGTGATAACGTCTGTCACAGGATTCTCCGAACAGATAGAGAACAGTCTGGCTGAGATGATGGAGAGGATCGAACCGCTGAGGCTGGCCGCCAGGAGCGAGGCTGAGAACCTGGGACACGCTGTCACACAACTGGTGAGAGACACACACACACACATACTATATACACGAGATATATTGTACCACTAGTACTATAGATCACTGTTAATACTTGTCCTCCCGGTGCAGGTGTCGTACTCAGAACCGCTGGTGAGCGGCACGTGCGGCGCTGCGTCCCACATGACGGACAGCGCGGCCCGGGACGTGCTGCTGCAGCACGCTACCACAGTTATGGAGACGCTGGCGCTACTCGTCACCGCCGCAAGGCAGGCCGCCGGGAACCCGAGGGTATGGATCACAGATACTGTGTTGGGTTTAAAGAAGTTTATTTCCAAAAAGAACAAAGTTCGCTTACAAAGAAAATTTTAAAAATTATAACTACAATTCAGATTATAAGTAATAAACGGTAGTGATATTAAACAAGATCAGTGTAATCATCTAATATATGGGTTCTTAATCGTTTTTAAAATATATTTAGAGATTTTGAATTGACAACACTTAGAGGCAAAGAGTTATACAGCTGTGCTCCTTCAAAAGAAATAGTTTTAATGCCATACTTGGTTCGAGTTTTAGGTGTTTCTAGGTTGACGATATGTAGCGAGCTCATACAAATATCATTACTATACTATTGAAGTTCATTGTAAACACGATGTGTCTGTCAGGCGGTGAGCGCGCACGGGGAAACGGACGCCCAGGCGGCCCTGGCTAGGTCCGCGCTGAGCGAGATGAGCGCTAGGGTCCGGGACCTCAGCCTACAGGCCGGCGCTGTAGGCCCGCTCGTGGAGAGTGTGGCGCGGGCCGTGGCTAGACTCACCGAGCACAGGTACACACACACACACACACACACACACACAGAGAGACATACACACGATAGAAATACTATATACACACAAATATACAGGGTGACTGGTGAATTACTATCGATACTTGAGGACGTGATATTTGACGATCATATATGACAAAATAAAAATTAATATAAAATAAATATTAATAAACTTCTAAGTAAAGTTAACCAAAAGTTATGTAATTAATTACGCATCGTGTGAACACCCTACAGATTAGGTATACACACACACACACACACACACACACACACACACACGCGTCGGCGGCGTGGTGTTGTATCAGCACGCCGTCGCACGCGTCCACACTTGTAACACTTGGAACGTGTCAACACTTTATTTATTTATACGGAAATTTTGTCAAAAATTAAGTACCTATTTTTTTTACATAATTCGAATGAGAATCATGTACCAAGTATTCTCCTTAAATATTGATAGTAATTCACCAGTCACCCTGTATAAGCCACAAGTACATGAACACTATGTAAACAGTAAATAAATAATGAGTCACATAACACGAAGACTGGAACACTCGATATATATAGAACACGGTCACAGGCAGAAATATCCAGTACATGATGGGCACCAGGGAATGAGATGTGATCCAGGAATGTGGTGCTCATGAAAACTTTCTCTGTACTATTGACCTCATTGCTGTTATTGTCGTATACGAATCATCAATAAAACTATATCGTAATGTAAGCGAAGGTCGCAGTACTGGCGGGCTGCCAGGCGGTACTCGGAGTTGACGAGATGTGACCTACTGGGATAGACATACAGACATTCATTGTAGACTTCATATTAAACACTACTTTAGATACTATTGAAAACAATACATAAAAATAGGTAATTAATCCTTAAGATACTCTGATGAATGACGTGACAGCATCACTATATATTATAAAGATTTTATATATAAATATAATGCACTAATCATTACTTAACGTTCCATACATCAGTGTCGGCCGCGCGTCCGTCGCGAGCGGTCATATACACAGTGACGTCACTATAATTAAAACACGTATCAATATTAAGGTGTATCTCATCAAGTGCTCCATGTTCAGTTTATTTTCGGTTGTGAATAATCTCTATATATAGCACCGCTTCATCAGACAGACTGAAGATTAAAAGACGGTACACAAAAACATACATACATCAGACTCAAACACTACAAATACACAATACATATTTAATGGTAGAAAATATTCATTACAGAAGTAAAATCCCATAATATATATGTTATATACATACATATATTGATTACTGTCTAACTAGATGTTAGTTTAGGTGATGACGTCACACGACGCGGGTGACGTCATCACGTGTCGAACGTAGATGTGATTTGGGCCATAATAATAAAAACATGTCGCCTACATTAATTAATGAGGAATCTCAATATAATGTATGTGAAACTGATATAAGGTGATGTTAACAGGATGTCGCTGATCGGGTCCTACGATGAGACGGACTCGTTCGTGGACTATCAGACGCGCATGGTGGGCGTCGCTAAGGAAATAGCCCACCTCGCCTCCGACATGGTGACTTTCCACTTCATACTCTAACTATCATACCAAGCCTTCATGTTAAAGACCCGTCTGTATCACAAATATTGTTTCAGACGGCCAAAGCGGCGACGGAGCCATCTCGCTTGGTGGAAGTCGGTAACGCGATGGTGGGCAAGTATGAGCGTCTGGCCACTGATAGTGTGGGCGCCGCCGCGACCACACCTAACGCGGACGTGGCCAGCAGGTCTGTCAGCATATAATCATAACTGATTTTATTCATTACTATAAAATTCTCTTTATTTAATGAAAGGTGTCTGTACTCGTTAGTATATTCTGGTTATAGTATTCTTGTATTCGGTTTAAAAACATTTATTTCTTATAAAGAACACAGAAGTTCACTTATAATAAGAAATTACAATAATTTTGCATGAGGGTACATTTAAAAGTCTGCCTTATGAATTATATACAGTGAAATAAAATGTTGCGGGTAGTTATATTACACAAACAATAGTTATATTAATCCTTCTTTCACTCCAGGATCCGTGTGTCAGCAGTGGAGCTCGGTGAATGTGTGTCGGAGTTGGTGCGAGCTGGTGGCCACTGTCGCCTGTCAGCCACCGCGCTCAACCAACGAGCTGTGGCTGACAACGCGAGGAAAGTCAGCGAGAAGGTAATAGCTATATTTATATATTTATTTATTTATTAGAAATAGTTACACCATCGACTTATCACTAACAAATTCGCTTAGCAGTAGATACAGGGTATTAAATTTAGGTGAATAAATCATTACAGGCGTAAACAACATTGACTTTAAGATAAGACTATACTAACCTAATTATATCTTTACTAAAATTTAAAAAAAAACAAACTATAGATAATGAAAGTTATTGTAATAATATATATTTTTATTCCCATTAAGACATGACAATTACACTTATAACAAATTATTTATGAATATACAGTTCGACATCGCACTTGTAACAAAAATGAAATGACAATGAGTACATAGTTGTTTCAAATATAACGCTTAACTAAGAGACTTGCCTATATTAAGTACTAATTTAATATATTGTGTTAGTTTTAATTATTTATACATTGTAACATAAAAATGAACTATTTATTTGTATACAAATTAAATTTGTTTGTCTTCTCAGGTGGTGTCAGTACTGAGTGCGCTGCAGGCGGGGTCTCGCGGGACCCAGGCCTGTATCGACGCGGCCGCTACCATCGCCACCATTTTGGGGGACCTCGATACCACCATATTATTCGCCAGCGCGGGTCAGTGAACACATAAACATAGTCACTACACAAGATCTGAGTCGTTCAATCTTATATATAATAACATTACAACATAATGAATAGTTTGAATTAAAATAAATGTGTATATACTCATATAATATTTAATAGGGTATTTGTAAAAATACTTAAAAAATTAAGTCCTTTTGAATGTAAAAATAGTCCCATATAGATGTGCAACTTTACTAACAATACTTTTTATCTTCTTCTTCTTCTACCTGGCAATTTCCCGGCTATAGCCAGGGTCTGTCTCTAACAATACTTTTTATATAAATATCCATCCTATATTCTCTAACTTGTTATATCGTTGTCCAGGCACGCTCCAGTCTGACAAGCCGGGTGATACCTTCTCCAACCATCGCGAGGGCATCTTGAAGACTGCCAAGACCCTGGTGGAGGACACCAAGACCCTCGTCAGCGGAGCCGCCTCCAGCCAGGACCAGCTGGCCAGCGCTGCTCATAGTGCTGTGGATACTATCGGTGAGGGAAAACTGTTCATATAGAGCATTGACAGACGTGTATGTGCGTGTGTATGGAGGAAAAGTGCTTTCTTAAATATTTTGTTCGCGAGTTAAATAAAGCAGTTTACAAACTGAAATCAAAGCTGTAGAACTGTATATATGTAGCAATACAAACGTGTGTGTTGAGATTGTAATTCTTCTAAGAAAAACTGATTTATTAAATTAATTTGTTCATGACTTAAATGACACAGAAGACAAACTGATTAATAGCAGTAGAACTAACGTCAAATATATGTCTTACTATAACGTTCGTTAATGCTGCTCGCAGTTCAACTATGCAGCGTGGTGAAGGCGGGTGCAGCATCACTAGGTGCTGGTGGTCCGGAGCCGCAAGTAATGGTGCTGCACGCGGCCCGGGACGCCGCTGCTGCCCTAAGGGACTTAGCTGCTGCCACCGCCGCCGCTTCCGGGAAACACGTCACCAGCCCCGACATGCAGAGACTCAAACACGCCGCTAAGGTACGAAACCACCGGGCTACTCCTACATTGACCTCACGACGGAAAATATACACTTACATAGGATATAGACCTATATATAGACTTAGTAGACATATTATTATTTTATTTTTATTTGATAATAAATTATTAGCAATGCTATTTTAAATTTAATGTTACGGGCATAAAATACTAGACATACATATATGTATTTTTAAGAAGTCAAAATTTAGAGTTTCTTGGTCTGTCAATTTTTGGTTTTGTCTCGTCTGCTAAATCGTTACATTGTTGCGTCTACTCTATACATATAATCAATATAGGAGTATTCCATGTACCACACTCATAGCACCCCTACTATGTGTTCTATGACCAAAACTGCGATAGTTTTCGTAACAGAAGCCATAGTAGGTGCGGTGGGCTGTTTGTTTCGTGTCCGTCTGTGACCGTGTCTCGTCAATATTGGGCTTTCTTGTAGCGGCTGTCGGACAAACGATGGAGCCTGCCTCTGAGAGCCGACACCCTCCCGCGGATCAAGCGGCGGTCGGTACAGATCAAGGATTATAACTCGTGCGATTCAGAAACAGACGTGTTTCAGTCCGACCAGGAGGACGAGCTGGTCAGGCTCTTAGACTATTCCAGTCACGATGATGACGTCTCCCCGACCATATTCCATGATAGCTGCGAGGAACTCATCACATACTTTGAAAGTAAAATGACCGAAGTTCCAAAGAGAGTCACGAATGATGACGTCAATATACGATACAACTTAGCCTCCAGGAACAGTCTGTTCGACATGGACTGGCGCGTCCTTAAGTACGGTGAGACCATATTTTTGGGAGAACTACGGAAGTTGGTCGATTTATGTCTAGAATTTCTAGATAAGGTTGAGAATAAACGAAAGAGAAAAGCGGAAGAAGTAGATAAAGCCAACACTGATCTGGACAGTGAAATGAAAAGGTTATCCCAGGTCATAGTCGATCTAGACTTCCAGAACTTAGTTTTGGACAAAAATGAAATCAATACCAACAAACACACGGCTGCCAAACCCGTAGTAGAGAAACCGAAGTTAAAGAGTCCCACGTTCAAAGTTAAAAAAGTTAAAACTATCAATTTGGCCGTTAACTTGGAACCAGACGTCGAATATATCGACGATGGTGATCAAACTCCTACTAATGAAGTAAAGAAAGATGTTGTGGATATAAAAACAGACAACAAGAAACAGTTCTGGGACATGTTCAAGGATGACAGCGAGTGGTGGAAGGAACTGGCCAAGAGGAACTTGGAGAAAATGAAGGAGACCAGGCTGGAACTGGAACGATTCAGTGGACACGAGCTGGTACTGGGAGAGATAAAGACAGAGATAGACAAATACACGAGAGAGAAAGAGACGCTCGAGAGTTTCATAGAAGACATCGACAGCTCGCAAACATTCAACAAAGACCTGGAGTATGACAAGAAATATGAAGACATGGTCCTCAAGCTCATACAGTTTGCCAAGAAGGACTTCGTGTTTAAAGGATTCGATCCACTCATAGAGAAACTCAAACACCTGTCGAACATTCAACTAGAAGGAAGACATAGAAAAATACACATACATGACATCTTGGATGTATACTCTAAAATAGACATATCCAAATATACTTACGAAGAACTGTGTTTACTGGAGAGATACTACAAGGAAGTTATTAGAAAATATAAAATGGAAACCAGAGGGAAAGAGAACGAAACAGACTTAGACAGAGAAGACACGAGGTCAGCACCTCCCGACTACAACAGAAGAATCATGTTGAATGTCAATTCTGAACAGAACCATGACGACAGTTACAAGGGACATATGACCAACTCGCTCACAAGAAATAGTATCTTAAAGAAGTCTAGACACAGCCGAAACAGTCTAGAAATATTTGACCTGACCCGCACCTACCCCATGGAGTACTACGCCAACAATTGGTGGAAAATATACGAAGATGTGTTAAAGAATAGAGAACAGAGGTTCGGGAGCATCGATAACTGGTGGAACTTCTATGAGAGTATACTGAACGGCAGTCACAGCGACGGAGACTCGAGCAGAATACAGACTATGATCAAACAGAATAGGAGGAGACCCGCCAGCCGTATGGAGGAACAGCTGCGGATGTTGGAGGAAGTACAGCACGCAAGGTTCAGGGAGAGCGAGGCAGTGCAGACCGGCGACGAGGAATCGGTCAGATATACACCAGATACTGTCAGCACGACGGCATGGCGCTTACCATCGACGGGTTCTGACACGACGCAGCGAGCTTCAGATATTTATATCCGACTCAGAAACATTAATAGTAATTTACTTTGGAGACAATCACCTACTGCCATACTTCAGAGTGGTCCTTTGTCTGTGGTATCCACCGTCTATTTAATATATTCAAGTTTCAAGTCGATCTGTAAATATCTGAAACTCGTTCATTATTCATGAGCTTGTGATGTCACGTCTATCGCTCTTCGTTCATCGGATATTCATGCGATGTTTTAAGTTTTGACGTATTCTGTGTGACTCAGTTGTCCCTCCGCGACCTGTACCCGAACTTAATTCCTTTAATATCTTTCAATCCTCTAATACATTAATGTGATAAATAGTAATATTAATATGTGTATGTATGTATAACACGATGTAGTTCTATTGACGTTGAACGCCAAGAGGTAACGTCTCAGATGTCCAGCCAGAGGCACCTCGATAGTATTTCATCCATGGCTTCCATCATCATTTTCCTGATCATTTCCAGCGATCATAACCCGGACATGATGGAGCAAAGCCACAAGCTTTTAACCGACTTCGAAAGAGGTTGTCACAGCGAAGCTTTGAAAGTCCAATATTGACGTACAAACAGCTTTATATGTATGTATGTATGTATTTATGGTTGGAAGCTTATGGGTTTCCTGCGGCATGCTTTTTGCACTGGGTGGTATGTTTAATAAATGTTTTCTGTCAGCCCTAACTCGGTCGGCAACCCTGAGCTTTTGTAATTGACGGAGAAACCTTGGTTTTCTTTACTGATGCGAGTCGCCCTGGTGTGTGGTTGCAGGTTATGGTAACCAACGTGACGTCACTGCTGAAGACCGTGAAGGCTGTGGAGGACGAGCACACGCGCGGCACACGAGCTCTCGAGTCTACTATAGAAGCCATCTCACAGGAGATTGAGGTGAATAACATTAACAGAGATGACTCTATATTATTTGGATATTTTATTTGATAAATGATTACTCTTAATCTTTCAAAAGTTGTATGTTTATTGTTTTTTAGTGTAAATTCATATAGTGTCTTACAAACACAGATTTATTTAATTTCGATTACGTCTGAGTTTACTCTCATTTAAAATTTGGAAGTTTTACAAAGCAAGTATATATGCAGCTTATTATAGTCAGTTTGTCACCTCCGACTTAATATGCGCTTGCCTTTGGTAGCCACGCACAATCCATGGGCAAATTAAAAAATATATATCTTATTTAACCTCCACGGTCCTTCTACGTGTTCCAGATGCTGTACACCCCAGCATCGTCTCCGTCGTCAGTAGAGGAGCTGGTCCGCTGCGCCCGCCTCATGACGGCGGCCACGGCCCGCGCGGTCGCCGCCTCCGGGCAGGACCAGCTCACGGCCGCCGCCAACCTCGGCCGGAGGACCGTGCTGGATGTACTGGCGGCAGCCAGGGTCAGTAAAGGAATACAATACTTAATAATATAGCTTCAACTTCTGATTAGTTTTTGCGAAACAGAATCTTAGTACTATCCTCCATATTGTGATGAATAATAATGGCTTTCTTTTTGATTCTATTTCATATTTAGTTTGCAACAATAAAAAGTTTTCATTATTTCTTATAAAACCAAGCATAGGATAACATCAGAAGATTTTCAATATCCATCACTATGAGGCTGATCTACATATAACCGCGTCTTAGATCCTTTAGTATGCAACTTTCACTTATTGTTTCTATATCGTATGTCAGGGAGCGGCTCAAACGGCTGAGACGGAGGAGATCAAGAACCGAACTCTCGAGACCAGCAAAGCAATGGCGGAGGCCTACCGCGGCCTACTTGGAGCCCTGCTGGCCTCCGACAGGTCTCAGCTGCCGGAACTGTCCCGCAGGGTCGCACTGGCTGTAGCTGATATGTTGGCCGCCGCTGAACTACTCAAGGGTATGATAATATATACTTGAAGTTACCCACATACTGGCTGAATATACAGGGTGACTGGTGAATTACTATCAATATTTAAGGAGCATACTCGGTACATGATTCTCATTCGAATTATGTAAAAAAAATAGGTACTTAATTTTTAACCAAATTTCCGTATAAATAAATAAAGTGTTGACACGTTCCAAGTGTTCCAAGTGTGAACGCGTGCGGCGGCGTGCTGATACAACAAGACGCCGCCGCGCGCGAGTGTGTGTGTGTGTGTATACCTAATCTGTAGGGTGTTCATACGATGCGTAATTAATTACATAACTTTTGGTTAACTTTACTTAGAAGTTTATTAATATTTATGTTATATTAATTTTTATTTTGTCATATATGATCGTCAAATATCACGTCCTCAAATATCGATAGTAATTCACCAGTCACCCTGTATAATAAACAAAAAAAATCATTTTATTGTCTAATGTTGTTAACTATTTAGGTTTTGTATATTCTTCTTGTATTAAATGAAATTGAGATTTTCTGTTGAACCAAACTAGAAACTTTATTCTTCACACGTTAGCAGAGAGCATAGACAAGAGACACAAGTATAGACTAAACTAAATATAGATAACAAAATTATTTCTTATAAGTGGTCTCCTCAGACGGATTAACAAATTATTTCTATATGCTAAATAAAATTATATATTCAACAAATGTGACTATTTTCTGGCAATGTATATTTTTGAACTTATCCAAGAGAGACGTTTTAGTATTATACTTCTTCATGTTAATTAATCTTATTATCATCCCCCAGGGTCTGAGTGGGTGGACCCCGCGGACCCCACAGTCATCGCGGAGCAGGAGCTGTTAGGAGCAGCCGCCTCCATCGACGCTGCGGCGCGGAAACTGGACGCGCTGAGACCTAGAGTGGCTCACAGTGCACAGGTTATATATTACATACATATATATATGTGTTAACAGAACAAATAAACAAGAAACTGTTAATATAAGAAGAGAAGTATATCAAAGACGAGGAGAGATACCGATGAAGATCAGCTGATGATGATGATAATGTCGTTGTGTCGGTGAGATATGTTTGATATTCTTGGTTGTTTTTGCATCACCCGGGAATCAAACATATTACACATCGACCGCGGCGCCGACTACGACACACAAGGGACACGCAAGACCACCACCTTCAATTATTATAGACTGTTATTGCAATTATATGTATGTTACAATGATAGTTATTGTATATCATTAAGAAACCGTCGTCATATAACGTGTGTTTGTCTTCAGACGGATGAGAACCTGAACTTCGACGAGATGATCCTGGAGGCGGCCAAGTCTATCATAGCGGCCACCTCCGCCCTGGTTAGGGCCGCCTCTGCCGCGCAGAGGGAACTCATAGACCAGGTGACATACAACACACTGATAACTATACTCCAGCCACATTCGATGTGGAATTTTAGTAAACAAACTATGAGTCATCATAATTAGGGTTGATACACTCTTAATAAAAAATAATTATTATTATTACAATTACAACTAGTATACTCATTATAACAAAATTTCCTGTTTAAACACAAAAAAATTAATTAAATATAGAATCCAAAAATTTTATTTAGCCGTTCAATACATAATTTATATGAAAATTTGATTAAAATAAAAGTTTAAAAATCTTTAATTACCACTATAATATTACTACAAAACTAACAACCCTATATTTTAATACTGACGTAAAGAAATCGCAGGTTTGTAACATTTGGAGTGTTTTTTAAGCAATTGGCAGATTTAAGAAGGATTTTAATGTAAATGAGTCCAGTCGTTTTGGAGGCGATAGATTAAGTTATTAAAGCGAATTATATAACTACGAGGTAATTTCTGATAACATTTTAAAATTGGAGGTATTATTTTTGAGATCTACATTTTTCCAGATGTATTCCAGATCATAAGTATTATAATTATAACCAAGAATGAGCTTAGTCCTTTGTCTTAAATATTTTATTATTAATCATCAATTTTAATTTTTATTAACATCAAAAATAATTATTGTACATATTCCTAAAAATGTTTTGAGCATCTGCCTGACGTTGGTTGCTAAGCAACGCTTTGTTATTAAACATTCCACATCGAATTTGGCTGGAGTATATGTATAATATTTTATCACTGAATTATATATGATTTTTTTCATATAAATATTAAGAATAACTATAACTTCTTTCTAACGAACATCCAAGCACTTGTGAAACGTTTGTGTGCTGTTTTTGCTATAATTGATGATTGTAATATATAATATATTACTTACTGAATCCATGTATGTTACAAAAACAATATCTATTTGTGTATATGTTTTATGATACCTCTATTCAGTCTATCATCAATATGTATATATATTATGCAGGGTAAGGTGGCTCGTCGGCCTACCTCGTCCTCCGACGACGGCCAGTGGTCGGAAGGCCTGGTGTCAGCGGCCCGGCTGGTGGCGGCCGCCGCGCACGCCTTAGTGGAGGCAGCTAACGCACTGGTACAGGGCGCTGCCACCGAGGAGAGACTCATCAGTAGCGCGAGGCAGGTCGCCTCCTCTACCGCACAGCTACTGGTAGCCTGCAAGGTAACACACCACACCAATAATTATGTGGGTTTAAAGAATTTATTCTCAAAAAGACATAGTCACTTACATGAGAACATACATACAAAAGTGAAAATACTAATAGTAAGATATTATTACAAGTGTGTTACATCATTGGTAAATCAATTATTTTCTAAAATATGTTGTGAAAGTTGAGATTTAAATTCGTTAATTGAACTTGCATTTCTTATAGTAGACGGTAATTTGTTGTAAAGTTGTGCTCCCTCAGATGTAATATACTTTTTTGCAAATTTTGTTCTAGTCGTTTCGAGAACTAGTAAGCTAGGTCGACGGGTGCTACGCGTACTGACTTGTTTCATAAATGACAATTTAGAGTGTACAGATTTATTAAATTTTTTTTTATTAGAATGCAGGAATTGTATATATAAAGTTGTTTTAAATGCATAATCTTCGTTTCTTCAAAAATTTTAACTGTAGATGTAGATAACTGATATTTAAAGAGTATTTTTATTATTTTATTTTGTTTTCTTTGAAGTTCTTGTAATTTTGTTTTATTAGCATTACCCCATACTTCAATTAAATATAACAAATGGGAATTAACTAAAGAGTTGTAAATATTATAGTGTAGTTTTTGTAGTATGCACCTAGAAATATTCTTTAGTGACCCAATTGAAGCGGGCAGTTTTCCTTTAATATGATCTATTTGATTATGAAAATAGTGAAAATTATATACTGAAAACACTACATTATTGTTATTACCAGCCTATCAGCGCCCACTACTGAAGAAACGCCTCTTCTCACATGGAAAAGATTTATACATTATTGAATACTTTTTATATAAAATGTATGTTTATTACAGGTGAAGGCAGATCCTAGTGCTGAGAGCACTCGTCGCCTGCAAGCCGCCGGGGCGGAGGTGATCCGCTCCACCGACAACCTGGTGAGAGCGGCCCGCGACGCTATTACTAGTGACGACGAACGGAGCCTCGTGCTCAACAGGAGGATGGTGGGCGGCATCGCGCAGGAGATAGACGCGAGGTGGGTTATACACTGATTATAATATATGTATGTAGATGACAAATATTACTTAATGGGTGCTCATGATCCTCTC